CAGCAGGGCTGCCCCTGCTCCTCACCTTGCCGGTGGACTCGGTGCCGCGGAGGATGCAGAGGTAGACCACCAGCCAGGCCAGCGTCAGGCAGAGCGCCTGCTCCCACTGCACGCTCCCGCTGGCCTCCAGCGACGGAGAGATGTTCAGGGTCTGTCGGTACCAGAAGTACTGGGTGGACGAAGTCTTCTCGCACTCCTCCTCGTAGCCGGTGTGGTTGCTGTTCAGGGGGCAGGTGGCCCACGGCAGCGGGTCCTGGGAGGGAGGGACGTGGGGAGAGAACCTGCTGTCAGCGTAGCAGGGAGAGCCCCAGGCGATGAAGGCAAGGACAGCTTTCTGCCCGGGGCTTGCTTGTCTCCGTGTTGTGCTGCCTGGGGCTGGGGATGACCCTCTCCACTGGGGAGGATCTCTTCTGACCCACTCCCCTGCGGATGATCCTCTCCCTGAGGACTGCCGCTTTCTGACCCTCTCCTCTGGGAATGAATGACCCTCTCCCCCGGGGATGGCCCTTTCTCACCCCCTCTCCAAAGACAGATCTGCTCTGCCTCTCTTCCCTGGGGACGACCAGACTCACTCTCTCCCTGAGGACAGAGCCTCTCTGACCCTTTCCCCTGGGGATGACCCTCTCCGATCTTCTGCCCAGGGCCAACCCTCCCCCCTGCTTTCAGACAGACCCATCCTAGGGTGCAGGGCACCGTGGCCACCAAGGCACCAGCAAGCAAGGCATCGCAGGGCTGGTGACCCAGTGCCCCTAGAGGGGGACAATACCACCTCATTTTTACCCCCAGAAAAGCCATGGGAGATTTCCTGGAGGTTTTGCCCCCCCCCAACTGATGATGGTGACACGCAACACCCAGCACCAATGCGAAACCACCATGACGATGCTGGCAATGCCTGCGGGTGTGGAGGGAAGGCGCTCGGTCAGCGGCGGAACCCCCAGAATGCCCAGAGCCCCGTAACGCCCGGCGGGCACCGCGGCTGGCATGGAGGGTGCTTGGCCTCTGGCGCAGCCCTGTGCACAGGACATGCCCCCGCCTCCCCCCGTCAGGGCTATATCCTGTACTGGATTGTATACTTTAGCCCCTGGGGGTGAATATTCAATATATCATTAAAGATAAAATGTGCATGTAAGCAAATGAACAATAGTTTGCATTATCAAGGTAATTTAATAACAGAATCACAGAATGTTCAGGGTTGGAAGGGACCTCTGTGGGTCATCTAGTCCAACCCCCCTAAGAGCAGACACTGGAAAATGGTGGGCAGCGGTGGTAGGAAATGAAGGCACTGTTTTATCACTCCTTGTTGAGCCTGTTAGGAAGGTGCTTTTAGGGTCAAAGCCCAGTGCAGGAAGCCCCAGGGGCTGGGTCCAGCACTGGACTTCACACCATGATTTCGGCAGCCTGCCTGAGGGCAGGGGGACTCACTCCTCTGAGTCCAGGGACCCAGGACCGCGAGCTGGGGGTCTGGCCCCAATGTCCTGCAAGAGATGGGGTAAATGCCTGCCATGAGGTGTCTGGATAACCGCTTTGCTCAGCCTGGTGAGACCCAGTAAAACCCCAGCTCCCACCTGGTTTCTCCTCTGAAAAAGCTCTCCGTTCAAAAGTCACCCGTGTTCCCAGGGCACTTAAAAATAAAGATGAAAACTGAGAACATACCGACGCCACAGAGGTAGGGGCTTATAATTTTCCAGGCGCCGATGCTGCCCTGACGCATGCGCTGCCCCACGGCCAGCTCCAGGTAGAGTAGCGGCATCCCCTCGATGATCAACATGATAAAATACGGGATCAAAAAGCCACCTGCGAGAAAAGCCCAACAGACGGCCTTCAGCACATCAGCAGCATAATAAGCACCATCTTGCCCTATTTGTGGTCAAATCACCCTGTTAGTGTCCCAGGAGCTGGCTGGGGCTGGGTCCTGTCCAGCACCTCGTGTACTGAGGACACGGCCCAACCCTGGGGGACATCTTACAGGGTTTCAGGCAGCGTCCCAGACGCTGGTGGGTGACGAGTGCCTGGGCCCTGGGAATTTTCCACAGGCGCTTGGCAGAGCTGGGATTTCTGCTGTTAAAATGTGCCAATTGTCACCCCGGCGCGGCGGGGCTGCCCAGATGCTTCGCAGGTGGTTTGAGCAATGTTCGGGGCTGGGGCTGTTAAAGGGTAACTAACCTCCAGCCAGACCTTGCAAAAGAGAATGAGAGAGGGAGAACGAGGGAAAGACTCAATTTGTGCGTGGCGTTCGGCGGCAGGGCCAAACTGCTCAGTGAACAAGCAACAGCAATGCCCATATCGAATAGAGAGTTCTGAGTAACGTATTGAGGTCTGGCCTGGCTCAAAAAAACCCCAACACAACCCAAGACAAAAAGCTCCCCCGAACCCCCGTGCTGGGCCCAGAAGGAACAGCAAA